TCACATGTACGGAAACCAGTGGGGCCCAGAAGAGAGTAAGGTCAATTCCACTGAGAGATGAGGGAGAAACAGGGAAAGAATAGAACTGAGTGACACGAAAGCAAATTCTACACAGGGAAGTCTACAAGGTAAACAAGGCAAGAGCAGGCTTCCTGAGTAGAGGTACTGACATGTGCAAAGGCCCTGATGCCTGATATACTCTGGGAAATAGCAGCTTTACATTTGGGCTACATTCATTTACTACAATAAGAACAACAATAATAGCAGATATTTGTAGGACACCAAGGAATATTCTAAAGCTTTGATATATTAATTGATTAATCTCTTAATAAGACTATGCTACTAGATGGAGAAAACAAAAAGAGCAAGTAATTTGTCTAAGAATTCATGTCTAGTTAAAGGCAGAGCTTGTTGTCAGGAAAGTGAGATAAGACTAAAGATGTCAACACTGACCTGGTCACAGGGGATCTTAACTATCAGATAAAGGCAGTGGAACTGACCTTGAGGATGGAGGAGATTGATTTTAAGCAAGGGAATACCCTGTTCTCTTTTCCATTTTTAATTGCTCCTTCAGGGACAATAGAAATAGGTTCAAGGCTTCCTATCAGGCTGTGAGTTTAGGAAAAAGGGGCAATTTCTTGCACACTTTCAATAGAAGATATGCACCAAAAACTTATGAAAGCATTTCCATAATAGCAGAAACACAATTATCCATCAACAGGAACTGGGTAACTAACCCATACACATACATACAGGGGAGGATTATGCACCAGTGAAAACAAATACAGCGGCCTGCAACAATAAGGTTGAATCTGAGTGTATCAGTTGCTGTGTAACAAACCACTACACATTTAGCAGTTTAAGTTTCAATTACATATTTAATTCACAATTCACTGGTAGACATATTAGACTGGACATAGTTACATGGCTTTTTTGGCTTCAGCTGGGCTTTCTCCTGAGTCTCAGGTCACTGGAGTCAGCCAAGGGGCTGTGTTTCTGAGGACTGACCGGTGTTCCTTGAGACAGTGGTGAAACGGAGCCACGTATTTCTCATCACCAAGGTAACCCAAGGTTTGGGAGCTTGCTGGTTAAAGAGGCTGAGCACAGCCCTTTTAAGGCCTATTTTAGTGTATTGTCTGTTGCCATAAATGAATACCACAGGCTGAATAATTTATAAAACAATTTATTGACTCATAGTTCCGAAAGCTAAGAAGTTCAAGAGCACGATGCCACTATCTTGGGAGGGCCGTCTTGCTGCGTGGTCGCCTAGTGGGGGACATCACTTGGTGAGATGGCAGATTTGCTACCTCAGGGGTCTTTTCCTATGCAGCCCCTGGTGGCATCACAGAAGCCCCACCATCATGACCTCATCTCTCCCTAATGTCCCCATCCACAAATATCATTACATTAATGTTTAAATTTGTAGCTTAAGTTTCCAACACATGAACTTTTGAGAGACAGCCACAAATCTTAGCAAAGCCTAACTCAGAACGAGTGCAATTTTACTTCTGCACATTATATTAGAACAATACATCAACCAAGCCCAGATTTAAAACATCGGAAAACAAACTCCACCTCTTGATGGAAGAAATTTCAAAATTATATTGCAAAAGGGATAGAGAAGCAGGAAGAGAGATAACAGCAGCCGTGTCTGCAAACAATGTACTGTTTGATACTAGAGTAAGTGGAGGAAATGTCAGTTCCAAAAAGTCACACGGACAGTGATACCCTTTCGCAGAACGTACATTTAGACTTTAGGAGTGCAGATAGATAAGACCATCTCATTATTTCATCAAAGGAAGCAACAGCAGTAAACACAGGATGCAAGCTGATAGTCCCTCAGAAGCCAAGGATAACAGAAGACAAGGAATTAGATGGGACATCATATGTTCTTGAATGCAAGTTATTGTCACAGCTTTTGTTTTCATTATTAAAAATAAAAATTTAAAAGTGGACCATATGAAAAATAGATGATCAGTCTGACTGAGGTCTAAAAGGGAAAGAGATTGAGACAGAGGAATAGGCCAATCCACAAAGGGTCAGGTTGTGCATTCGGGAACGTGGGGAGTAATGAGAAAAAGAGGGTCAGCCATCCCTTCTAGAACACTAACTTGGGGACCGCATGACAGAGCCAGGACCTGACAGAAGAAGACAATTTGGAGAAAACAAAGAACTGTGTTTGAAGTGCTTATGTAGTATCCATAAGGCTTCCAGTTTTCTGGAATTTGGAAAGGGGTCAGGGCCAGAGAAGCAGGAGCTCCGTTCCCAGAAAACCCTGTGTTACATCAGGGCGGAAGGCCTCCCTTCTGTGGCCAGCCACCCTCAGCTGCCTGGCCTTGCTGAGGCCCCAGCCTCCCCCAGCCCCTCTAGACAGCTCCTCAAGCCACGTCCACAGCCAGGTTTTCTTTCTAAGCCATCGTTGAGCCTCCACCCTGGAACCCTGGGCCAAGCAAATAAGCCTGAGGTGGTGGCTGAGGGGCCCCAACAGCAATATCCTCCCCCGGCAGAGCCAATGGGACCCCAGAGGGGGCTGGATGTTTGTGCAGATGACATGTTTATGGCCCAGCCTCTCCTTACTCATGCTCTTGGCTTCCCCTCTCTGATTTTGGTTGGGTGGATCCCAGTTCTGCTGCTGGATTTGGGAGCCTTGGGGCTGGGGCTGAACAGAGGTTCCTTTAACGGTTCCAACCCAGGACGGTTCCAGCCCCTTCCCTCTCTCCCCCTAGACCTCATCTTTTACCACACCCAACTTTATTACAGAATGTAGCATCTCAGAGCTGGAAGGGCCCCTGGCCTCCCCTCACCCAATACCTCTTTCCATAGAGGAAGAACGTGAGGCCCTAGGAGGAGAAGGGACTTGCCCAAGGTCACCCGAGCAGGTAGCGACTGAAGATCCAGGCACTCCGACTTCTAGCTCCAGCCTCCAAAACTGTCCTCCCCACAGCGGCTTGCTTGGATGCAGTTTTGTTTGGGAAAAGCCGGTTCAGCTTTTTCAAGCCTGCAACAGTAACTCTCTCCCCTCCCAGGGAGGCAGCAGACAGTGACGGACTCTCTGCTTTTACACTTTAATTCCATAGGAAATTGGAAATTGCCTGTCAGAGGTGTCCGGGTGGCCCAGCTGCCGGCTGCCCCACACAGACCCAGGCTGCTCCACCCTGACCTGGCCGCCACAGAGCCCCGCTTCTCCTCTCTAGCTGGGGGGCCCTTTGCGGAAGCTCTCCCAAAGGCTCCTGTGGATTTTCTCCCTGCTCTTCCTTCCAGGGCAGGACGATAGAACTCGCGACACAGCAGCCAGGCCTGGCTGGGGCCCTAAACCCTGACATTTAGCTGTGCTGTTTTCCACCTCAGGCTTTTGGGAGACTCTAGCCTGCTGCTCCAGCCTGATTTCAGCATCATCTCCTACCCTGAGGTCACAGGTTACTTGGATGAAAGAGCTCTGAGTCCCTCTCTAGGTGTCTTGGGTAACCAGGATCTACAGAGAGCTCTGCACTGCTTTCCAAAACCTGTTACCTTCCCAGGGTTTCTGACATTGCAGAGCATCACACTTTTCCCTTCCCTGAACATTCCTGCCCTGGGGACCATGTGCTGGGATCCCTATCTAATCTCAAGAACCAGCCTAGAAGCCTCTGAGGGTCGATGTTGCTTTGCATAGTCATCAGAGGTGGAAATCTCTGGCACTACACTGTTTGTGTTGAATCCCAAAGCCATCACTTTTGAGTTTTATGATCTTGAACAAATTGTTGTACCTTTCCATGCGTCCATTTTCTCATTTGTAAAGCAGAGATGAAAATAGTATCACCTCATAGTTTCATGATGTATGAGTTTGTTATGATGGTTATATGTATGTAAAACACTTGAGAAATGTTAGTACTGCTAATACCATATTTTAGCATCTATGATATCTAAATCTTCACCCAAGACCAAAGCTGAGCTACGAGGGAAAATAGGTGCTCATGAACTAACCCTTTAAGCAACTGACAGAAAACACAGCAAAAGAAGCCTATGCTTTAAAGACCCATCAATGAGCAAGATGGGCAGAGTCTTTGCCTGTAGGGTGATCAGTCTAGGGGGGAAGCAGATGGACATGGAGCAGTTCCAAAGCAGTGATCAGGCGTGGGATGGAACCGAGCTTAGGGGTCCTCAGACCCTGAGGAGGCACACTGACTCGGAAGCAAGCTGTGACTTGACTGATGAGAGAGAGAGAGAGGTAGAGACACAGACACAGACACAGACACAGAGTTAATTGTAGGGGTGTATAGTCAGGAGAGTGTTCCAGATAAAAAGAACACTCTGAACATGTATTTGAGAGTTGAAGACCCGATGTTTAGTATGGTTTGAGTGAGGAAAAGGAATAAGGGAAAGGTGAAGCTGGAGGGTTAGAATAAAATCAGACTGTAAGGGATCTGCAGGTCGTCCTGACGGGACTGGGGAGATTTGTCTACTCCGTATGATGGATAAACGAGTCAGGCTGAGGAAAGACAGTGGGATGAGAAACAAAGTTCAGTCTTTGGAATAACATGTGAGGCCACTCGTAAACTAGCCCACTGGACCTTCCCAATGCTCTCTCCTACTAAACCGAGTTGTTGAAAGAATCATTGAAAATTCACAGGCGTGAGTATGCCTTGCTACGCATAAAGGGCAGTGTCGCTGTGAGAAATTGCTCCCTTTAGGGTCCTTGGTGGCTGCTTTGCTAGGCACACTACATGAGCTTCCTGCCAGGTCCAAGAGCACCACCGCTTCCCCAGAGAGGCATAAAGATTCATTTCAGGCTGCTTCCAGAAGATCCTAATGGACACTTGTAACTGGGGACACAACATCAGATTTCTCCAGTATTTTGTCCCCTTGGAATATCTGGATGAAAAAAAAAAAATCACTCACAAAAAAGCCAACCAAAAGGCTATGGATGGAATGGGGAGGTGAGGAGTAGTCCTTGATCTTCTCTTTAGAGGCTGGAGAGGCTATGCCAGAAAAGAAAAGTTTGAGCTTATTTCTATGCTTACCAGGCTTAATATCAGTTGAATTTTGAAAACCTGGTCCCTCTCCTCTCCGTTGGCTCCAGGCTCCATGATACAGCCCTACCATTCACAGAAGGTTATACCAGGATGGCCTGAGAAGTATGGGCAGCATTCAGGGTTTCACTGTGGCATTTTAAAAACCTAAAAAGCAAAGCAAAACAAAAAACAAGGCAATAAAGCTCTTCTCTGGAGCTGAATTTCAAGATCGATACGTAATAGATTAAAGCAGAGATGAAAAGTCACTTAAGCATGACCAGGTGGTTCCCAGTTTTTAAAAAACCTGGCTCAAAAACATAGATTTAAAGAAATGCTAGATTCTGGTTAGAAGTGTTAAGGTGGATTGAATGTACAGAGAAACTGTCTTGGTATAGACACCTAAAAATGCTCAATAAAGACTTCAAGATTTATTTTTAGATGCATAGACAAAGTAGTGAGAAAACATAGCCAACCTCAGAAGAGAGTGACCAAAAGAACCTTGGGCTCTGCATTATTCCTGTGTCCAAATATGCATTTCTAGAACCTGGAGTTTGGATTTTTAACTGGCTCCATATCTGGAGACAGGTGTTTGCATCAGAAGCACATCATAAATAAACATCTGGGGACAGAAGGAAAAACTCAATGCTTCCATAAGAGGGAAGTCAGAGAGGGGTTCTCTGCATAAATCTGTGGCCTCTGGTAAGCGACACCCACAGGGAGACGAGGATCCTTGTCTTTGTTACCTGGGGTTTTGGATATATTAGCAAAGGGGAAAAACTCACCTGTGAGAATCTATAACCACATCCTGTCCTCAAGTAGACATTGGGACTAATAGAAACTCATGAAACCTGAAAGACAAAGCAAAAAATTTTATTCGCAGTGTTCTCACAGTGTCACTCTAGACAGCTAATGGATGACTCTGAAGGAATGAACATTTGAACCAAAGCCTCAAATAATTCCTAGAGCTACTGTGAGCTCACCATCAAAAATTATAAAGCACACACAAAAGTAAACTACATGAGAAAAGTAGCAAGAATCAAACTAAATAAAGAACTTCAGGGAGCAAGTACCAGTTAAGCACAGCCAGACCTGTCACAGACATGGAGATTTTAGAGGACAAGCCAAGTCATGAGGGTGGAAGTCTGGAAGAGCTGCAGACACTCTGACTGCTCATTCTCCCCTGTATTTTTCCACGCCATTTGCTCCCCTGTTCCAAATTTTGCTGAGAAATCAGCAGTGACAAAAGAGTGGGTAAACTGAGTCATGCGCCCTAATGATGATAAGTTCTAGTCCTCTGAAACAGTTGAAAGCAAAAGTGGATCCAAAATATCTGAAGCTGCAGCCAATCATTTTCCAGCCAGATAAGAAGACACAGCATCCTGGGAGGTTGGGGTCAGGCCAAATATAAATGAACTCAATCTATTAAAGCTGTCACCCAGCCCCATTCCAAATTTATTAAGAGGAAATGTGAATGATCAGGTATTTATACGAACTATCAGTTACAACAAAAGATTTTCATCTAGGGAAATAAAACTTTATTTTAGTCTTCTTTGTCACTATACATAAGAGTTGGGATACAATAAAAAAATTATGAGTCATTTGAAGAAGCAAGGGATTAAAAATGATTATATTAAAAAGGCAATACAACCAATATAGATAGACTCCCTGAAGATACTGGGCAACAAGCACTTTATAACAAGAGTTATAAACATATTTAAATTTTAGAAATAAATAAGATAAATGGGCATTTTTTCAGAGAGTTGCAAGCTATAAAAATGATAAAATTGAAATTCTGGAATTACATTATGTAAAATTAATACTTAATTGAATGAAGTCCCCCCAAAATGATACAATTAAAAAGCACTAGGAATCAGAATCCTCCTGATTTAATTATGTTGGAATTCTAGAGTCTCTTAAAAGCCTGGAAATTCTAGAAGAAGGTTTGCGTGGAAAACTTTGGCCAAGTTCAGCCCATGGCAGGCCCTATGCTTAGATTCCCAGAGCAGCCTGTGTGTACAAGACTTTAACAAGTTATGGTGGGCAAAAACACAGAAATGAAAGTTTAAAACCCTGTTCTCTATATTTTGGGCATTCATTTTCTAATCTCTGATTGCCACTTCTGATGACCAAACTTGAGAAAAAGAAGCAGATGGCCACATTGTAGCCCAAATCTCTGTAGCTCCAAGTACCTCCCCTCTATCTGAAGTGACTTTCAAGGGATTGAAAACAACAATTTAGATTTTCTCCCTTCATTTGCCCTCTGTTGGGAGCCATATAATAAAGACTAAAACATTTAAAAATGGTAAAATCAGTAAGTGACCATACACATCCATGCAAAAGCATAAGCTCAGAAAAAACCTGAGAAGATTTAAATTTACATGTCAGGCTAGTCTTTGGCACAAGAAGAACCTATAACAATAAAAAGAAAACTAAACAATACCAAAAACAAGGAACCCCATGGAGGGGGGACAATATGATTTCCAGAGTTATCAAATTATTAGATTCAAATGTCTCATTTTCAACCAAGAAAACTTATAAAACAACAGGAAAATATGGCCTAAAGGAAAAAAATAAATCAAAAATGATCATCCCTGAGAAAGACCTAAAGTTTAGCAAATCTACTAGAAAAAGACTTTAAGTAACTATTTTAAGAGTGTTCAAAGAACAAAGAAGACAATGTGTGAATATAGTGGAAATATCAACAAAGAAATATCCTTTTAAAAAAGAAGAGAACAGCTGAATCTATAAAGAAAAATTCATTAGAGTGATTTAAAAGAAGATTTGAGCAGGCAGGAGAAAGAATTAGCAAAATTAAGATAGGACAATGGATATCATGGAGTCTGGGAAACAAAAAAAAATTGAAAAAGCAAACAGAGCCTAAGGTAGGCTCTTGGTAGTGGGACACTATCAAGTAGGCCAACCTGTGCATTGAGGGAGTCCTGGGAGCAGAAGAGAGAAAGGGAAAGAGCTAGAACATTTGAATAAATAACAGCTGAAATTTTTAAAAATTTGATGACATGAATATAAATATCCAAAAATTTCAAAGAAATTCAAGAAAAGTAAATTTAAAGAATCCACACAAAGCTACATATAATCAACACTTTTCACTTAACATAAACTTTGTTTTTGTTTTTGTTTGTACTGGGAATCAAACTCACGACCTTGCACTTGCCAGGCAAGTGCTTAAGCCACTGAGCTAAATCTCCAGCAATATAAACTTTTGAAAGACAAAGAATCTTGAAAGCAGCAACAGAAAAGTGACTCATCACATACAATCATTTCTTAGAAAGGGTATCAGTAAGCAGTTCACCTCCCTGGTAAGCGGCTGTGGTGTGGCAGGCTGCGGCAGCCCCAGGGGGAGAACCACCAGCATCTCCTGAGAGCTGCACCATGTTGGAACTCAGGACGCTGAGAAACCAAGCAATCAGCCTGCCTCCCTGCTAAGCAATAGTAAGCCTACCAGTGCATGGGCTTAGAGTCAAACATCCCACTTCCCCTCCCCGCTTCAGCAAATGGGAACCAGAGATCTGAGCGTCTCTTGGGAGGTTGACCATATGCAATATAGCAAATAAGGAGGATTTCCTTCTACCATCTTTTTGAAGGCAAATATCTTTACTACTGTTTTGCTTTAGTCTGATTAATGGTACTGTTCTATTGAATATCCTGTTTTGATAATTTTTATAGTGTTCTGTACTTCATTTTATTTTGTTATACATGATTGAGAGAACAACTAATGTGATGATGAGATGTACTGTGATACCAAGTGCTGTTATCCCGGTAACCTACTGCGAAGTTCTGTACCAATGTCACTACACTATCTCAATTGGCTTTGTTCTGTCTTGTTCTGTTGTGTTTTACTACCTTCAAAATAATAAAAAAATTTTAAAAAAAGAAAGAGTATCAGTATATTTCTCATCTAAAACTTTAAGGTCAAAAGACAATGTTGATATCTTCAAAGAACTCAAAGAAAATAAAAAAGCAGTTAACTAAGAATTCTCTAGCCAACAAAACTGTCCTTCAAAATTATGAACAAAATTAAGACATTTTTAGATAACAAAACTTGAGGAAGCTTGTGACTACTAGACTTGCCCTGTGAGAAATGTTCAAAGGAGCCTTGCAGGTAGAAATGAAAAGGTATTACACAGTACAAGTCACATAAAGAAATAAAGATCTCCCCAAAGGAAATGTGGGCACAACTATAAAAACAACTATCATTGTTACAGTAGTTTTATCTATGCTTTCTGTTCTATAGATGATTTAAAAGATACATGTAGATCTTCCTTAATTTACAATGGAATTATATTCTAATAAACTCATTGTAAGCTGAAGATATCATAAGACAAAAATGCTTTTAATATACCTAAGCTAAAAAAATCATAGCTGAGCCCAGCCAATCTTAAACATGTTCAGAAAATTTACATTAAAGTACAATTGGACAAGATTATCCAACACAAAGCCTATCTTATAATAACATTGTTATATAGGATTTTGAATCAAAATTCAAAATTTGAAATAGTTTCTACTGAATACATATTACTTTTATAATATCACAAAGTGAAAAAATACTAAATGGAAACATTTAATACAGAGCCATCTGTATTTAACAATAACTACTAGCTTTAACACTAGTAGTTTTGCAACAATAGTTTCTGTACAGATGGTAATTTAAGAAACAAATGCATTTAAAATAATTGTTAGTTTTCTTAATTATTAAAATTATGTCTTTGGGCATACAGTGTGCAAAAACATAATATTATAAATCAACAAACTGTTGGGGCAGAGGTCTAAAGGAGCAGAATCTCAATATTGTTGAAGTTAGCTGGTATCAATAAAAGATTAGAATCTTACAACTTCAAGATGTTGAATCTAATTCAAATATAACCACAGTAAAAAAAAATATAGCAGCCAACAAAGTAAGTTTTCTAATGCCTAGTAGTTTCAAAGATAACAATAAGAGGCTACCAAGCATTAATTATTTCAGTTACAATGGAAAACAGCATGACCGTTACTCAAGAAATTAAATATAGAATGGCCATATGATCCTGCAATCTTCCTAGTGGGTATATGCTCAAGGGAAGTAAAATCAGTATGTCAAAAAGATATCTGCATGCCTGTTTATTGTAAAATATTCATAACAGCCAAGAGATGGAACCAATCATCAATGGATGATTGAATAAAAATTGTATATATTCAAATTGAATACTATTCCACTATTTAAAAATAAGAAAGATATCTTGTCATTTGTAACAACATGGATGAACCTGGAGAACATTAAGTAAAATAGCCACTCACAGAAAAAGTTAAATACCACATGATAGCACATATACCTGGCATACTACAAGGTGATCTTGCTGGATGTGGTGGCTCACACCTGTAATCCTGGCACTACAGATGGTTGAGGTAGGAAGGTCAAAAGATCAAGTCCAGCCCAGATGACTTTGCAACTTAACAGGATCTTGGTTCAAAAATAAGTTGATCCATGGAAGTAGTGTAGTAGTGGTTATCAAAACCTGAGGCAGTTATGGAACAATGTCTTGGAAGAGGATATACAGTTACAGTTAGATGAGAAGGATCAATTTCAAGGGATCTGTTGTACAGCAAGATGATTATAGTTAGTTACAATATATTGCTTTTTTCCTTTTTTTTTTTTTTTTTTTTTTTTTTTTTTTTTTTTTTTTTGGTGGTGCCAGGGGTTGAACTCAAAACCTTGCACTTGCCAGGCAGGCATTTATGACACTGAGCTAAATCCCCAGCCCAATATGTCGCATTTTTAAAAAATGTAAAGAGAATGAATACCATGTACTATGTGAGTAATACATTTGTTAATTTCCTAGATTAAGCAGTTCCA